CGTTATCGGCACAACCACGGCGCTATGGTACGTTTTAACTTTTAAATAATATATTCATACACAATAATTATAAAATATTATTCTACGGTGTATTATATCAAATAGTGTTTGAATTTTCCTTGGCCAACACGTGGGAAGATTGGCCTCCAGTTATGAATTCGTATACGGATCAGACTATACGCTCATAAATCATAATATAAAATATTTTCCAATATTGTTGAAAACATTTTATTTATTAAATACATAATAAATTAATGTGCTTAAATGCCATAATTAAATGTTACGCTGATATAAGGTCTATATAAAAAAAAATACTATGATCATATCTCAAGATTTTCGGTATATTATATTTGAGGCCTATACATTCGTATATTCGTTGTGGTGGAGTTGGTTACATGCAATTATTAGGCGGTACCTATATAGTGTACGGTGGTTAGCAGAATCGATTATGATGTGCTTTCCATATCTAATGATGGTACAATATTATAATATTACGAATTTATATAAATTTGAATAATATTCTTTGAGCAGGATCACAATGATAATTTATGACGAAATGTTAAAAATATATTATATTCATAACGCACTCATGAGTCATATTGTATTATGTAATACGTGGAGTGCAAATGAAAAAAAAATGAATAATTAGGTATTAAAAAATATTATAAGATATATTGTAGATAATATTTTAATAAGCTACACTTATTCACTAAATAAAAACAACTTTGTCTTAAAATTGTTGATAACGGTATACACCATGTCGCTATATGTATATCGTAAGTCGTATTTATGTTGATACTACAAATGCATTATTGTTTGTTTTTTTTATATTTGCAATCGTATAAATTGGCAAACTACGTTTGACAATGCCATGGTGTGATAACGGTATGTTGTTAATGTGTATAGATTTTTATCATTGAACTATAAATTGCACCGATACCGATGATGGCCCTTAGAACAAAATTGTTTTATTTAAAACCGTAGAAAAACCTTTTCGAAGAGAATAATAATAAATTAGGGTGATTTTTTTTTTTTTATTTAAAATTTTTCTCTATATAATATATATAAATAATATAATTTTATTCTTAGAATATTAATTTTGTTTGCATGGTTCAATACTAATTATATTTTGCTCCTATAACGGAATCTGTGGAGGTAAAATCTGAGGAATCCTCGATCCCTATAAATCCGGGCATATGTATATTATATACTATGGGTGTATAGAAGCGTATAAAGTGTTGAATGCGATCTACCAAAAAAACGGTAAAAATATTCTACGCGTTTCGGGGCGTTCTCTATTATAGGTATTAAACCGTAACGTTATTTTGTCTCATATTATAATATATAGGTACACGATCATATGCATTTTCGTGCACATTTTCTTCGAGATAAATCAATGTAATTTTTTCGAATTCCACAATATACACTGCACTTATAATGTACATATACGTCGTGGATGTTCGTGATAAATCGTCAGGACGTGTGTGCATCATGCGCCTAACGTGTGATTATCCAACGGTGTAGCTGCAATTTCCGGCCGATTTATTATAATTTATAGACCGATCTGACCGTGATATGTATAAGACATAATATCACCGTAGATACCTATATATGATACGACAACTGCAACAACAATATAAAAATTATAATCATTATTATTATTTGGATATCAAAAAGCGGCGTAAGCTCTTCGTCAATCCGACTTTGGAACCGTGCGTGACTTTAAATTAACACCGCGAGAATATTATAATATAGTGCCACATATTATGCCAAACGTAATATATAATATAATAGGTATAAGCTGGAATCGGGAAATTTATGATGTTCTCGTATTGTTATTATATAGAATATTCAATATAAATAATATACCGACTATATATTATAGCACGCGTATAAAATATATATCTTTAGTATATTCTGATAAAAATAATAAATATATATTATTTTATGGTTGTATACACTATCTTATGGTGTGGTGGGTGGCTGGAGGGGAGGGTTCGCAATAGTGGCCAAAGATTTATGGTGAATAAGGCAACGTGCGCAGCCGACTGCAATGGCTGCAGTAGTTGCATTCAAAGTTCAAACGTTGTGGCGCGTGTAATAATGCTGATAACAATATTCTATAATTTAGTGCAAATAATAACACTAACGAGTTTGTTATTTTCACCTACGCACTTACGCCTCATTGCTTATTATAAATTAGTTTTTATTGTAGCCAATAATATATTATTGGCCAAATTACGGGTTAAGTCTCGGCCTCTCTGCACCTCTGCCGCATACTAACCGATAACTACCTACTGTCGTTAACCGATAATCTTGTGTGTACTCGAAAAACAGGCGAAAGAGAACGAAAAACGTCCGAATTAATGTATTAACACCTTTTACACAACGTATACCTTTAGCCTTTAGGTACATATGCCGTTCAGGATATACTAAAATATTTCAAAAATTATTTCTATTATGCTAAAGCAAACTATTCGAATGAGAAGCCGCCTGTTTTTAGGTTTGGTACCTATGATTGATGATATTATATTGTTACAAGTGGTATATATATACATCGTGTTATATTTTACTGCACACATAATATTATTATAATGTTTTTTTTTTAAATGTTCATACTATAATCTGTTCTCACCGGAAAGGTAAAAAATCGGCCAAGTTCGAGTCCGACTCGCACACGAAGGGTTCCGTACCATTATCAGCTATGTTGGCAACACTGCTTATATTATATATTCTAGGATTTTTTGTATTGAGGAGAAGTAATGCTAACGCGGTTCCTCTTCCGTCCCTCGATTAACTCGAAAAAAAAAAGGATTTTTTGTATTTGTTGTTGTAGCATCCACGAAAATACATAATCTGTGAAAATGTCTGCTTTCTAACTTTCATGATGGTTCATGAGATACAGCCTGGTGACGGACGGACGGACAGCGGAGCCTTAGTAATAGGCTTTCTTCTTACCGTACGGAACCCTAAAAAGAAAATGTAGGGACATATGCGTTTTATACATATATTTTAATTTATTGCTTGCATATCATGGACATTGTACTAACGGTACCGGCTGTAGGTATAGTGCATTAATTGTCATTTGGCATATTATTATGATTGGATTACATGTACGGTTCATAAAATCATTTTGTTTTTTCGTTATTTATGTGCAGCGGGTCGGGAGAGTGGGCATAAAAGCTAATTTTATTACATGTTATATCCATTACCGTTTATACCATACTGTATCAGGTAATACAATTTATTTTGCGCTATTATCCCACTACCAAGGTACAAAACTGTAAATAAATTTTGCGTTTTTGGGCCTAAAACCGAAAGAAATACACAATTTAATAGATTTTGGGGTGTCGCTGGTTTTACGTATACCTAACCTAAATGGCTATACCTACTTAGAAGAAGATTTCTGCACCTTCGGCTGGAATAACCACGCATTACGATCTCTTACAGACTCAGCAAAATCTGCCATTTCGATTTGCGTCATTCACTCATGTCTTACAACCTAAAATCTAGTTTGTTTAACGATCTCGTTTATCTCCCTCCCTTCGGTCACATCTAATTATTATTATTTTACGACGACATGGCAATAAAAAAAACCTTTTGCTTGCGCGTACTTTCTCAGGTTTTCTTACACGCTAATTTTGTTTATTACATATTATAATATTATTATTACGTACGGACACAAGAGGCGTCCTCCCTTCAATTATATATATATCACCGAGTGTGCCAGGTGACGAGTGCTCGTTATTTTCAATATTCCCGAGGTCGCCTTGACCCGCAATCGTCTCGACGGACCACCACCGATGCTCGCCGAAGTTCTAACCGAGGATTACGATAACTCCAGGACATTACGATTTGTAATTTGTTTTTTTTTTGCACGCAAACAACAAACATTATAAAATCATCCACAGCAGACGTACCTACATATTATAATCTGCATGGTATGGCAAAAAAAAACTGTCCTCACTTCGTGTTCTGCTGTAACATAATATAATATAATAATACAATAATATAGCAATGTTACAAGTTACAACTATTATAAATACGATTTACAGATTTCAGTTTTAAAAGTGATGAGGCAAATAACAACTGACGTGAAGAAATTTTTCTGAAGTTACATACCTTATGAAATATTAATCACAATTATTAACGTAACGAGATAAAGTCGACCTGCAGCCTAAATATGGCTATATTATAATGTACTTGCGCTGTAGGTATTTTAACTATCTATCTATCTATTAGAGACATTTGGAGGATAATACTAGCTATATAGATTGCACGTCTTGTTAAAACATCGTATTACTTCTTCATACATTGAATTAATCTTAATTCTTCACTATAATATATATTAAGAGGGTATTAATTCTCTCTCTCTACATCGGGTCCTAAAAACCGGCGATGGGGCGAAAGACTAAAACATCTTGTATTTTTCCGCATACGCGTCACCAGCATGGTTGAAGAATAGGAATCACCCTCGTTTGCCACCATTCACGTAGGACACGGTGTTATATAATATACAGATATGAGATTTTCCCCTAGGTACCTATACAAATACCTACAAGCGCTATCTTTAATAATCTAATAAAATATAAAAAGCATTAAACTGTGTATGTAATTTTAGTCTATTGCGTTTTATCATTGGTTATTATCGTAAATCATCAAGAAGATATCTGCACCAATTTCTTTTTAGACGCCGTGATGTGTTTCCAGGAATCGTGCGGGTCACTGGGTCGGATATAATAGTGGATTGGGATGAGTTTCTTAAATAATAAATAATAAACTTAGATTTATCTATTTCCGATATACCAAAACTATAAAAATCTCGTTGTTACGGACAAGTGACAACGTATAAGTGTTTGAAATGTATTCAATTTGTTTCTGTATCATTCAGTATCGAATTATTCAACGAACACTGCAAATCATTTGTTTACTTAGTGTAAAAGTATAATAACTTAAAGTATAATATTATATCGACTGAAGTGACTGTAATATACCATATCATGTCGAATATCCGTTCACTGCAGGAGATGGCTGAGGACGAGATCCTGGAGTCACCGCGATCCACCATCGATCTCATATTCCAAGTTTTCGAAGAACTGCGAACGAATCGACCGAAACCATTAGAAAACCACTGTCCCGCGAGTTGGCCATCGTGCAGAGGAGTTAGTTTGTCGTCTAACATGGAAGCGCAAAGAACGTCTGCAGGCGATGCATCCACGATCGACCAGCTTGTTGGCCACCGACGTTATGCTCCAAGTTTTTGACGAACTGCGAACGAATATATTTATATATATATATATAGCACCTCCGAACGCCCCTTAGTTGCAGAAAGGCTCCCCCTAAGTTTTGGGGGCTTGATGTGATATAACGTCTTATAAAATTTTATATCAGATTATCTGCTTATGATATTAATGTCACGTGAGACAAAATTTCAAGGGATAATCAAAAGCGTAACGGTCAACGATGATCCATTACGTTGAAGTCTATAGTCGTAAGACGTACGCTATTATATATAAGTACGCATACTGATCGTCTGCAAATAATAATTATGTTCAATATTATAATACAATCTAAATGTAGGCTGACAACCCATGATGTTGAAGCCTAAATACCATCTTGTAGAATACGATTCGCTCGCACTTGCATATAACACCAATACACCATGTATAAAATATTACATTTAATATGTATATGGCGGTGAACAGTTATTGTACCTATATAATATAATATATTATTGATTATTACCTTTCGATCGGATTATTACGACCCGCCCATTATACGCGATACATAATGTAAAATGATTTATCGGTTCGCGACTATAGTCGTAGCGATTAATTATTCTTCATTACTATACGGATACAATAATAATAATAATAATCATACGAATGTGATGTGTGTTGTTATTATTATTATCATTTTTTATTATTATTATTATTATTATTATTATTACCGCAACAAGCGGGGGAATGGCGATTCGGTATACCTCCTCTGGCTTTGTGTGTGTTGATTTAATGCGCTCATAAACGTCGTTTTACACTCATAATACGCGCGCGTGTACAATAATAACGCTACTACGCATGTCATAACACTAAAGGTGTTGCTCGTTATATTATTATAAAGCGTAGTATAGGTATAATTATTATATAGAACGTCCGAATCGTATTTTTTTACACGCCGCTGTCTATATATTTTATAAATTATATTATAATATAACGTGTGTGGTACCTCTACGCCGAAATAATATAATAACAATATTATAAATTATTATACATATTATTATTATTATTAAAATATTATAATATACCATTCGGTCAGCCACAGCAGCAATTATCTTGTTATACTCATAATAAATACCTACGCCTGCTGCAAATAACATACGAGCCGCAATGGCATCGAGGACGTCGCTACTCGCTGCTAATCCCATAAAATAATAATACGAAAATCTTGTGAGGAAAAGCAAGCGCACACGTGCAAAATTAATTGATAGGTAGCGAATATAATTTAATTTATATTATTATAATCTTTTTGCGCCTCACTACGCGTCCTGCTCTGCAGCACCTACATATAATATTAATTATTATATAGGTATACCGGCAGACCCAACTGTAGTTGTACACACCGCGTTTGATATAGTATATTAAAGTAATAATTCGATTATATACAATGTGATAAATGGGTGTCGGTGCCATCGTTAGGGATAAAATATATACAGTTGGCATGTGTTATAATATATAGTGTTACTAGTTAGGTACTCGTGAGTAGTGGATTTATGCGAGCCCTCGAAACGACGGTTATGAGACCGTCATGTTTTTATGTGCACTTTATGTAAATGCATATACCTGCACAATACCCTTCTTGGTCATATAGGAGACGTGAGGTAAAAAATTATATAGATTTCAATCGTTCAGGAGAGAGGCGAGCGATGTGCTATTGTGCTGTACTCCTGTAGATTCCTTGCAAAGGATGGCACTCCGCTAAAATGTAAAATTATATGACGTATGATCACACAAAGTTTCAAATCCGTCTATAAATGTTATATTGTATTTTTATCTTACAACTATAGATTATAATAATATGTTGTCGCCGTTCGTTTCCTCCGCGTGCATCCCGCGTTTTCTTCGCGTTTCACCACATCCTATTCACGACCAATTTTCCCACAAAAAAACCACACTAACTACCAATAATAATATATTTATTGAAATAATAATTCTTAGGATATATTATAATATATACAATATATTATTACCTAAATTTCTTTAGGTTGAATACGAACCCTCATTTTAGTATTCTGCCGCTGATTACTACATTTCAGCCGGTTATGATGGAGTTCGTCAAAGGATAAAATAGACATTCGGAAACAGTTGAAAAATTTATTTTCATCTGCTAGTAAATCTTCAAATAGCGAGTTAAATGTGTCCATGACATTTCTTCGTTCATTATTGGGTGCACCCGTACACGTTGTTTTCTACATAAACACAAAAAAACGGTACAAGCCACATGGCAATGATGGCTCATGTAGAAATCCAACTGAGTTGAAAAAAGTAAAATATAACCAAAAAATAACCAAACGTATCATCACGTATAGACGATTCACTGTGAAAAACCCGTCTTGTGTGAAAAGGCCCTCATTGTGAAATATATTGTTGTGTTATTTTTTATTCGTATCATATTTTTGCAGGCCTCGCCATTCACCAATCTGGCAAATCTGTTGGTAAATAGTTGATAATTACGGGCTATTATTTTGTGAAGTCAAACGAGTTACGACAGTCACTATTATTGCAGTTGTAAAACGTGCCACCGAACAAACGGTTTGACAAATTTTTCTCCAAAAAAACGTGATATTATAACAATATAATATTATATTCCCTGGGTCTCCGATTTAATCTATATTATTATAGATACCTACCCGTTGACTGTTGTTTCTATATTATAGATAACGATATGACACAAATATAATATATTTTTACTAGGGACGGGTTCTCAGACAAAAAATAAATGTTTTTCAACATCTATTTCGTGTTCGAAAATTATTAATAATAATTTAATTATGTACCTAATGGCTAATACCTAATACATATTTTGGTAAATAACAGTACTATTATAATATTTTATAAATAACTAGCTGATCCGGTGCACTTTGTTGCTCATTAAATGCCAACTCTATATGAATAATATTATGTTTTAATTTATAACGTAACGATTACCATAACAACAATTTTAAAACGATGGCAACCAATAAGTATTATTATAATAGCTTCAAAACCCATGGCAACCATTTATATACAAAAATGTCCAGCGGAAACCTCAGAATCCCTGTTTGAGCACCTCTCGGGGTTGGTTCTCCTCTCTTTTTAAATTAGCCTATCTTCTGACTAGAGGTCTAATCTATCTCTGTACCAAATGAAGACTTTGGGGCAACAACGAGACATGTCCATGTTTTGGTCAAAATCACTTTTTCCCGTCGTAAAATATAAAAAAAAAAATCTGCATCGATTGGTGTAACAATGAGACATGTCCGACTGTTATATATGGAGTTATAATATGTCTTGTTGTTGTGTTGGTGCAACAACAAGATATGTCCAGAAAAATACATATTAAATAAAAATTTAATTTTGGTGCAACAACAAGATATGTCCAAAAAAAATTTAAATACTGTGCAACAACGAGGCATGTCCAAGCAAATTTGCATTACGGTGCAACAACAAGATATATCCAAACAAGTTTTTATTGCTTCCTTAACTTACTATCAAAAGTTAAGCACTATCTACTAGTGCATATGTTGTATGTACCCTATAACTAAAATATACTATTTTTTAAAAAATTCTAAATTTTTTTTTTGGAATTTACAATGTTTTTTTTGTCTCTTGAACAATTTCAAAAAAAGGACATGTCTCGTTGTTGCTCCAAGGTCTTCAAATGATCCCGTGCACTTCGTTGCCTGGCAACCAATAATTATTATTATAATAGCTTCAAAACCCATGGTAACCATGGACATTATCTATGGATATTATCATGGATATTACCATGGACATTATCTACGGACATTACCGTGGACATTATCATGACATTACCATGACATTATCTATGCCCTATGGACACACAGACAGACAGACAGACATACCTACATTCATTTTTAGGGTTCCGTATACGGTAAAACTGGACCCTATTACTAAGGCTCAGCTGTCTGTCCGTCCGTCTGTCACCAGGCTGTATCTCATGAACCACGAAAGTTAGAAAATTGGAATTTTCACAGATTATATTGTATTTCTGTGGCCGCTATAACAAAAAATACTAAAAATCCTAAAATGTATAATATAAGCAGTGTTTCCAACATGTTTATAGATGATGGTACGGGACCCTTCGTGCTCGAGTCCGACTCGCACTTGGCAGGTTTTTATGCATATAGATTATAAATTATAAATTATAATATAATAAATCTATAGATGAACACGTTAACTACAATCGTGGTTTTTTCCAATAATTATTATTGTGGACCAATAATTGTATAATATAGATTATGCTCCATCAACAATGTGCACAATTTTTAATTTTTTTATTTGCGTTTAGTGGTTGAAATGGTACTCCATTACACCCTGTTCGTCGTCGCTTGTGGGCGGTGGCTGGTACTATCGATAGGTATTTATTTCATTACTATATAGGAAAATAATCGTTATAGGTACTTACGTAGACTCGTAGTATACCTAATGTTTCGGTGTATAATTTGATTTCTCTAATGAATAATAGTTATAACTTAAACGATTTCGTATGAATTCTGGTATATAATTCTGGTAATTCTGGTATTAAAACGTATGTGAGGAGGGAAGGAATTGATAAATGGTTTATATTATTTAATAAAATGCAATAAGACTTTAGTATTTTGTTTAAATATTTTCATTTTCACCAACATCTTCGCCAACGACCATACCACGTTGAATACACCAGTTCTCGTCCGATCACTGAAGTTAAGCAACGTCGGGCGTAGTTAGTACTTGGATGGGTGACCGCTTGGGAACACTACGTGCCGTTGGCATTTTTTTGCTATTTTAATCCACATTATTTTTAATTTGGAATTTATTTTTTGCCATTTTCAACCACCTTGACTCGAGAATTGTTGTAAAACTCCTTTCCGCTATAAATTTAAATAATTGTTTATATTATACAAAGTTACATCTCGTTTAACTTGTTAACTTATTAAGTCACAAGTCTCAACATACTTATTTTTGAACATTACGACATTTTGTTGACAAATAGCTTAAAAAAATGA